GATGTGCTCTGTTATCAGAGAACTGAGCCACAGATGAACTGTGCCGAGTCCTACACAAAAAAACACAGTATTTTGTGATTTGGTGTAGTGCCCAGAGTAGCACTTTGGAAATGATGCAATAGCTTATCTTGTAAGATGGTTGGTTAAAAAAGAGCTATAGAAATCTTTTTGAAATGTATTATGCCTGTAGGCTTATGCTCCTGTTTTTCTGTTAAATGGTGATGTAAATTATGATGACATGTGTTTGCAGGGGGCAGATGGTGTGACCCATGGCCTCTCAACCAGTCAGGCACTGGTGAAGCTCCGGGACCAGCTCAGCAGCCTGCTGGAGCAGCACCAGAGAGCCAGACAGAGACGGCTTTCCTGGCGGGTACGCACGCTCTCTCTAACTCGAGAAAAACTTTCTGAGTGTTTTTATCATTAAAAAAAAATAAATAAATTGAAGCACTTCCATTTCCACCCTTATTTTTGAGCTTTTCTAGAAAATGGATTTCACAAAGTTTGAACATCTTAAAGATTGTTTTATTTGTTTTAGGACAGCTTTTGATATTTGTGTGTAAGCCTAGGGTCAAGGTCAAACTGCCTCCCACCTGCATGTTCCCAAATACAGAGCTTGGATCACAAACTGTTTTTGTTGATTTTTCATTTCTGCCTTTTTTCAATAGGAGCAGTGGCTAAATAGCTTTCTATACCATGGCAATCGGCAGTCCTGTCTCCACTGGCCAGGTGGAGCCCTTACCCTGCTGGTTGTTCTGGGACTCATTTGCTGCCACGGCAGCCAGCCGACTGGCAGGTAAGGGGTGAACCTTCCTGTCCTGGGGAGTAAATGGGGAAATTAAGGTAGCATATCGAGGAAAAGCATAATAATTCATCCAAATGTTCCAACCTCCAAAAAGATTCAATTAGCTCTGCCTAAAACATCCACATACCTACCCAAGGTTCTTCTCATATTCTGCACCTGTGCTGACCTTTGGCAATGGGTGGGATCAAATAATAATTGATTTCACTTTCTTTATCTATATATAAAAGCTTCAAAAGCTTTAAGTTCAGAACAACACTTTCAATAATAGTTTCATTGTGATTTCCAGTTCTGGTATAGAGATGGTGAACGCTGCAGCTCTACTCCTCCTCTTCCTGTTGAACCTGCTCTTGGTTGGCCGTCAGGAGAGGCTAAAGAAAACTGAGATGATCCGGCGCCTCAAACGCATCATCACTCAACTCAGTGGTGAGTTGCCGGTGCAAAAGCTCCGGTGAGAACATGTGGAAATCACTGCTGCTTGTCCAGTGTGCTTCTCGCCTGTCTGTCATAGTTGGAACTTGTCCAGTGACTGCAGTCTAGATATCCATTTGAATAATAACTTTCTATTAGTGTTTATTTTCAAATATTCAGCAGTAATTCAGCTGTTCAATATTATAAGATATAAAGTCAAGTTAGCCTGATTAGTGCATCTTGGCTTCATTCGTTTCATCCAGGCTACATCAAGCCAGGTCCAACAGTAGTGCTGACCTGGTTAGTTCTGGGGAGAATGTTTCCATGGCAACAGAAACAGAGGATGAATAAACTATCTTTAAAGGAAAACCCAGGGCCAGCAGGTGGTGCAGTGGTTAGCGCGCACAACCTATGTACGGAGGCCTTAGTCTTCTACACGGGCGACCCGAGTTCGAATCGATGTCTCCCCCCCCAACCCTGTCAGCCTCCTCGAAAAAAACAAGCCACTAGTGCCGTTAAAAAAAAAAAAAAGGGAAAAACTGTTTTATCTTAACTTGCCTCTGAAGGGTTAAATGTTGCTTTCTGATGACGCTGCAGGGCTAAAACTGTCTGCTTCCTACTTTCTCTCCTTTATTATTTACAGATTATGTGTCAGCGTGTGTGGGGGAAGTTCATTGGCCGTCCTCTCTTTACCCTGACCTTTACACGCCCCCGTCTCCATCATGGTCCCTTCATTGGACCTACCGGGACTCTAAGCTCGTCAACCTGCCCGTCAGTCTGCTGGTGGAAGGAGATGTCATCGCTCTGCGACCTGGCCAAGAGGCGTTTGCATCTCTCAGAGGCATCAAGGTCAGACTAGGCTTGGTTTGCTCCTCAGCCCCCATAATGAACTCATTTTCTCCTGAGGAGAAGCTGTGGACTTGGATGGCTCCCTCTCACACCCTCTGTCTCTTCCTCAGGATGATGAGCACATAGTCCTGGAACCAGGAGATCTTTTCCCCCCGTTTTCCCCCCCACCTTCACCCCGGGTTGAGAAAAAGGAACCCCAGAGCCCCCAGCAGCACCGCCTCTTCAGAGTGGTCCGGACCCCGGTGCTGGAGCTGGTCAGGTGGGGGCCTGGATGAATGGGGGGGGGGTCACTGGTTCAAAGGATTATAGACCCTAAAACTCTGGTTCCCTCCACAGGAGCAGCCTGGAGCTGGCTCTGTCCCGGCCCATCACTGTGTTGGATAATGAGCGGTTCACGGTCCAGTCCATCATCACAAAGCTGGTCTGTCCTGTTGTACTGGTGAGCTGAGCTGCTGGAGCCTCAATCATTGTTCAATGGTTCTAGGAACAGATGGAGGGTTCATTCATCTGCTTGTTCCTCCTGCAGGTGGCGTTCCTGCTGGTGAACACCGTCCGCTTCTTCTGCGACTCCCCCAGCCTCACACCCAGCAGCTACAACTTCCTCCAGCTGCAGGTAAGACCATGCTACACTCCAGGTGTCGTGGTGTTTTAGATGGAGTCCAGGTGTCGTGGTGTTTTAGATGGAGTCCAGGTGTCGTGGTGTTTTAGATGGAGTCCAGGTGTCGTGGTGTTTTAGATGGAG